ATACTTGAAAGGCATAACTAATGAAAGTTAAAGTAAGGAGCTGAATTGACTTTCCGTAAGAGTATGAGGGTTAATTTGACATTTTCTCTTTTTTAAACAAAAAAACTAAAAAAGAAGGAGAATGAGGAGAAAACATAGGCGATACTACTGTGAGTAGGGGTGAGTTTGTGAAACCGAAAACCAAAAAACAAATAAAAAAACCACAAGAAAACTGAAACCGAACTAAAAAAACTGAACCGAAATTGTTTGGTTTCTGTTTTGGTTTTCACATCAGAAAACCAAACTGAACAAACCGAACTTTATAAAACTTGCTATTTTATTTATTAATCATTAAGTATAATATTTTGTTTAGTTCTTAATTCTAGAAAATTAATGTTTGATACTAGATTTATTATGAATTGCAAGATATTGACATTTAATAATTATGGTTTAATTAAGTGAAATGCTGGTTCATACACTTAAGTCTATTGATATAATACTAATATGTTGATATTTTAGGTCATAATTTACATTTTACTTGTTGTTGCATGGCAATGATATTTTGTTGATATATTATTTGTTATGTATGTTTGTTATCACATATTTTTATATTGAACAAGTATGTATTAATATAAACTATATTTTAAACAACATATCCGAAAACGTGAAACTATAGAATAAGTTATTTACTATATACAAAAGTATTTTAGTAAAACAGAAAATGAATTAGTGGATACAACATTTACAAATGAATTAGTGGATACAACAGCTAGTTATTTCGAATCTTGCTCGAAGGAGCTAACTTACCAAACAACTCAGTTGCATAATTTCTGAACTTTTCTAGATGCATCCTTCTTCCAGAGCAATCACTCTCCATATACTATATATACTATATATAATTCACAAATAAACTCATGCGGTTAATTAATTTAGAAAATGTTAAAATTGGTATACATTCACTCTCTAATTCATTGCTTGAAAGTGCGTTTTCTTCTTCTCTCTTTTTAAATTATGTTTTTGTATTGTATTACTATTAATTAGAATTTGATGTAGTTTTTTTTTCGTTTTTCAATTATATTTTTTAATCAACAAAACTATTTTGGCAAAATTCGAAAAAATCAAAACCGAACCGAAATAAACTGAACCGAACAAACCGTGGTTCCAATTTTTTTTAACATAAAAACGGACCAAACTAAACTTTTTACTTTGATTCAGTATTTGGTTTTAGGTGAAAACCGAACCGTTTGAACCGAACCCATCCCTAACTGCGACGATGGCGGTTGGAGTGGCGACGGTAGCATTGCAGCAATGGTGGCGGTGTAGAGTGATGGTGGTGGTATTGTTGGGTAGGCATCGGCAACCCTGAAGGCAGGGATGGTGACGATGAAGCAACGGCCGCGATAGCCCTAGAAGCAGACACTTGAGTAGGCACATGAAACATAATAAAATTAAGGGGTTTTATATTATTATATAGAAGAGTATGATGGTAATGTGAAGTCATGTTTAGGGAATTATAATCATTGAGTTCTATTTGTACATTTATGTTTAATTCAAGTTCTATATATTTAGAGCAATTCTATTTTCAAACACCCAAAACACTCAAAGATTGATTTTTCAAGATATATCATTTGTCTCAAATTTAGGGTAAATTATACTGTTGGGTCGTTATATTATGCATATGATATACCGATCTCAATATGACATCATTTTGCTAATAAAAACAGCAACTTATTCCTCGTCTTTTCCAGCCATATGTTTCCCTTCTTCACTGATATGTCCGCCCATCTCGTTTATTTGTTCCTCTTCTTTTTCTTCTTATTCCTTTGTTTTCTTCGTTTATCTTCGTTTTCTTCATAAAAAATATTAAAAACCCACAATTTTATTAGTCTCAACTTCAAATTCTCAAGTAAAGTTTTATTAAACAAAAACAAAAAAATAGTTTTTTCCATTTTCGGTCCCCCGACTATTGTGTCTTTGACAATATTGGTACTCGACTTTTAATTTTTCCAATTTTAGTCCTTGACTATTGTGATAGAGACATTTTTAGTCCTCAACTTCAAAATTTCTCACATTTAGTCCCTTAGTATTATATATCAAATTGACACTTTTAGTTCTTCCGCAATGATTTTGAGACAATAAATGGAAGACTAAAAATGTCATTATTGTAATAGTTGAAAGGCCAAAAGTGTCACTTTTATAAAAGTCGGAGGACTAAATCTGAAAATTTTCGAAGACGGGTACCAAAAGTGTCTGTGTCACAACAGTCAATGACTTAAAGTGGAAAAAATCAAAGTCAAGTACCAAAAGTGACAATGAGATAGTAGTCAGAGGGCTAAAAATAACAAAAACACAAACAAAAAAATTGTATTTGCATTTGAAAGTCTGCTTTTGTTTTTCAAATTCTACCTTACATTTTTCGGCTCATGTGGTTCATATATAAAATCTAACAAAATTTATCGTGTTACATAAGTTACATAAAAAAAAAATTACACTTACATATTTGACACACAATTACATTTTGTAGACTTACATATTGGACACACGTAGTTTACATTTTGCATAGAATGACTTACATATTGAACACAAGCACTTTACATTTTTCATAAAGTGGTTTACATATTCAACACATGCAGATTACATTTTGTAATAAAACGAGTAACATTTTTTTATTTTCTATGCATTTTGACTTATCCAAGTAACATACTCCCTCTGTCCCTAAATTTACTTCCATTTCGCTTTTCGAGAGTCAACTTAAATCACTCTTAAACTCTTACTTTTTGTATCAAAACTTTATGAAAATTGATTTTTTTTCTGCAGGCTTTGTAGCGGGTTTAATGTAGTTTCTGAATATGTAAATTTTATTTACTAAAAATAATCCGAGTTTTCACAAGGATCATTTAACTTTATCGTCGGTCAACCTTTGTAATCCGCAATCGGAACAACATTCAGGGACGGAGGGAGTATTAAACATCTTACATTTCGACTTAACTCAAGATATATTTTCTTTTTCTGTTAATGACTTAACGTGAGTTACATTGTTTATACCCTTTATTTACATTACCCCCTTATTGTCAATCAAAACTCCACATTTTACATCTCATAATCCTGATGTTACATTTTCCAGTAACACAAGTTATATTTTGTATACTATTTAGTTACACTATTTTTTGTATACTAATTTTATTTACACCAATTCTTTATTTTATATACTGGAATAAAAGTTCAAAAGTTTACATTTACCGCTATCTGAGACTATATTTATATCAACACGAGTTACATTTCCGTTCACAGGATATACATTGTCTTTACTATTCCCGTTCACATTACCTCATGCACGTTTTGTTAAATAAAACAAAAACATATTCATTTTTCTCATACACATTTTTTTTAATAAAACATAAATTTGAACGTGGATTTAGTTGCGGGAGTACAATTTTTATCATAGACCACTCTCACGATATAAGGACTAGAAATTTAGCATATGATGGCCAAAACCAAAATTAGATCACGAGGATGGTTCAAATTTGGCAAGGGAGGTTCGGGTGCAGTGCGATTATTCATTCGGAGTACTTATACAAATTCTTTCATCTTTCTGCTTGTATGTGGGTTGGACTACCCTTGTACACTCTGGTGGTTTGATAAATTTTTTTGCTCATAGAAAATAACCATGGCTAATAAATGCTTAAAATTTTATGTTGTTTCTTAAGCAGTAAAATATCAAAATATTAAGTACTCTTTTTGACGAAAATTCTTCGATAAAATTAATGTGCGGAGTAATTGTTTTCATGGGTACACTAAATTTTGTGACATCTATTTTATCTGTAGTTTTGTACTCCCATATTGTTGCATCTTTTCTTTTTGGCCTTTCCACTAAAATTGTCAGTAGGAGTGGGCACGGTTGGTTAACTGCATTTCAGTTAACCAACTATTTGGTTAACCGTGATTTCGGGATTAATATGTTTATAATATCAATAACTGTACCAAGACATCGGTTAACCGGGGTAACATATAACCGTAATATAGGTTAACCATTAATTCATTTAATTGATTAACCAAAAAACCATTGAAACAACAAAAAATATGATAGCATTGCTTTGATTGCGTTGCACATCCAATTTACTCCCAGGGATTTCACTCTCCCGTGAAAACCGGAAATAGGCTCCTGTTGATATTATTGAAATACTCCGTATAAAACTAACAAGTGTAATGTCTTTTGAGTTTTATGATTGTAATGTCTCTTGCCATCTTTATCAATAATAATTAAGTTATTGGTTTTCAAAAAACTAACGTGCATTAATTATGCACTGACGTGTGCATATATAGTGTTTATTTATAGGAGTAGGATTAAACCATTTCCGTTTGTAACATGCCTCATTTGTTGCGATGTATGAAAAATTAATTAATCAATAATAATAAGATAGCTTCAATTATCTTCCAAAAAAAAAAGATAGCTTCAATTATTAACACATTTTGCCGACTCTAATACTACTCACAAATATTAACACATGTTGTCGTTCCCAGACCATATATATTCACGCAATACTTTGACTGTGACATTAGTTTAGAAGTAATATCTCAACATTGTATTAACGGTTAACCGGTGGTAATTTTATTTCAAAACCGTAACCCTATCATGTACCGTCTTTTCTTTCGGTTGGTTAACCGTACACAAATTCATAAAAACACGGTATGGTTAATTGAAAAAACACCGATTTTTCGGTTATTTTGCACGGTTAATCGGTTACGGTTTTGTATGCCCACCCCTAATTGTCACATACCAAATGTGGTAAAGTTTGTGTGATTTTAAATTATTCTTAGTTTATTCTTACTTTTTCAATTTAATATCAATCATATAAGCCTATTTTTCTCAATAACTATACCACATCATCATGTCTCAGTATTAGTGGAATGAAGATAATACCACTAATTAGAAATTTATTTCATCATTCTTAATTTTAGTTGAGTTTTTATGTTTTTGATTACTTTTTCTTCACAAAGTAAACTACAATAATGACCAATTGTAGTCTATAGATATGATATTTGATATTATGGAAAACAATCATCAGAAATATATAATATGTAACATGAAAGACGAATATTTGTATTTAGTATTTCTTTTCTATTCTGGTGGCACTAAGTTCCCATGCACAATATTTGCGCACACTATGATTACTGCTGAACATGCTCTAACCATAGAACAAAATAGCTTTAGCCAACCACAACTAATATAAAATCTACGTCCCTCATAAGATTTACCACAACTACGATTGGGTTCTATCTTTACTCCTAGAAAACAACTTACCAAAGCCATTCCTTCCTCTGGAATTGCTGACATGATTTGTTGATGAATTAGATGATGAAGAAGATGCTGGAGATTCATCGTAGTTCCCATTCATGGAATGGGTTGAAATCTGATCTGAAATTCCCAGAGGATCTGAATCAAGTTTGTGGTTGAATGTCTCATCAGAATGTGTCTTCCACAAGCTAACCCCGCGAGAACTCGAGGGTCCTTGAAGGTTTCTGGCGTCTGTCAAGAAATCTTCCAATGTGGCCAGTGATTGGAGCTGCCTTCCAAGGGATGCAATCGTTTTCTGGCATTCAGCAAGCTTGCTTGCGGCAGTTACAGCTAAATCTTCCTGCAAATTTACCAAATGTTATAATAATGTACGCTTACCTCCTAATCCATATTAATTAAGACTTTGGCTCCATGCGTTATAAGTAAGTTTATATTGTTGTATTTGCTCAACATGGGATTGTCTAGTTGGAGCATATCGATTCCATGGCTTATAGGAGTTTAAAAGGCCATGATACTATGTTAAGATTCAAAATTCTTCAAAGGGGGGCCTTATAGAAATTATAGTTGCTAACCTGCTTTACTTTCGGTTTGTCACTTGAACATGAACCTGGAGGATGATTTAGTTCAACATCATCACTTTTTCTTTTCCTCTCATTCTCAAATTCCAGACACTTCTGTTTCGCATCTTCACACAAGGAGCACGGTTCACTTCCAAATTCTAACTTCAAAGAGTCGACGCTTGCAGATACCTTTTGTGCCTCTACTTCCATACCAAAGAGTTGAAACTCTAGAGATTTTTTGGAGTCATTTGCTTCATCGAGCTCCTTACGCAGCACTTCCAAACTTATCTCTGCATCCTGAAGCTGAAACTGAGATGCCTTAAGGTCGTCCTGCGTATCATGTAATGCACCTTCCAGCTTGATTTTCTCAGCTTCAATTGTCTCTAACTTCTGCTCTAACTTTTCCACTCGTAGAGTCATAATTTCGGACTCCGCTGCTGAAGCATCCTCTCCATTAGCTGCGGGTGACTCGTCAGCCGCTTCCTTATTGCTCTCACCAAGTGACGATGCAAGTCTTTCCATTTCAAGAAAATCATCCATAATGTCTATCTCTACAGTTAAGGCTGATATGTTTTTTGACAAAGACTCATCGTTCTTGAATTGATCAAGCTCGGAAATAAGTGCTGAAACCCAATGGTCTGAGCCACTTGGATCGCATTCACCTCTTTTGAGTTGCTCCCCACTTTCGGATCGACTATCCGTAGAAGCAGCACAAGATTTATTTACATTGGATATAGATGGCTTGCGAGACTGTGCTTGAAGTCTTCGATACTCTACTTCAAGTTTGGCCAATTTTTTTATGCTCTCAAGTTGCTGTTTGCTAGCTGTTTCTGCTGTTTTGGTGCTTAAGTCCCGTTCGACCGTTCTAACTTCCAACTCCTTGGTTCTAGAAAGTAGTTGGAGTTTGAGATTTTCATTCTCTTTCTCTAGGAGTGAAAGCTTTTGGAGAAAATCATGATCGTCAGATAAAGCATAAACAGCTTCTGAAGCCACTGCTTTTAACCGGAGCTCAGCTAGCTCTTTCTCAAGTGCACCTCTGCTAGATTCCCATTCCATGTTTTTCTCTAATATAGCTTCTGCAATTCTTTTTTCCTGCTCATCTTTGGCATTTCTCAACTGCCTGACACATTCCTTGAGAGCTCCATCAAGTTGCACATTTTGTTGCTCAGCTACCTCAAGTTGCTGTTTTAAAGCAACTACCTCATTTTCTGCCTTTTCCCAGCCTATCATTGATGAAGACCTCAATAAAGAGTGGATAATGTTTGAGGAGACCGGATGGAAAAAGGTCTTACACTTCCATCATAATCATTACGAAGTATTGTAGAGGACAGTGGAAAGCAAGCTATACCAAACCAATTTAATAATCATGGGGGTAACAAGAAAGAGCTCTGTTATCATGTATTGATTCATGTTAACTGACCACGAAACTTTTTGGGACTAAGGCTGGGATGTTGTTGTTTGTTGTTGTGGGGTAACAAGAAAGATTTTTATCCGAATCAATACGTCAACTTTTACTGATTAAGTGGGCTATATTTGTCTCCACATAAATTATACGTAGTACATAACATAAAAGTAAGGATACATTTGTTCCTTACTCCATAAATATACACCTCCCATTCACTTTTAGTTACTCCTTTAGAGTTTTTACATAATCAAAGAGTAAAGTTGTAGGGGTGGTAAACAATGTACAAGAAGTAGGAGAAAGAAGATGAAGAAGTATGAGAAGTTGGAAAGAAATGATGAAAATACGGGGTTTATGTGTTTTAGAGATGAGAAATAATGACAGCTTGCCAAAAATGGAAGTAGAGAAAGCAATAATAAATATCTATAGCAGGATAGTGTAGCAAGTAAAAGTGAAACAGGAGTATGATTTCTGAAAACCTGCAACAGCTTCTTCAGCAACTTTGGCATGCTGCTTAACAAGGTCTTCTTTGGCACTAACATTAACAAGGGCTGCTGATAACTTTGCTGTCAGACACTTTAGACTTTCCTGAACTTCATCGTCTGTTGAAGCAGAATTTGAAGTAGCTTCTGATGACTGCTCTTGGTGATGATCTGGAGATTCCTTTGTTGTGTCCTGATGCATTTAGAAGAACAAAATACAGCCACTGAGCCACATGGTACAATATATATGTGTTATTCTTCAATAGTCCACCAGTCAATCACTTACTAGTAGTAAATAACAAATTCCAAAGTCCAAAGGGGACTACATAATAATTACGTAAATTCTTATAGCAAATCATAATGTAGATAATGGAAAATCAAGCATTTGTTATCATCAATGTCATCACATAGATACTAATCCATTGAAGTTCAATAATTTTCAAGAAATAAACAAGTCTTTCTATAATCAAATTAAAGAAGTTAACAAAGATAAACATGTTCAGTTAACAGATGTTAATTTTCACTGTCATTTTCATTAGTTTGAACTTTGAAGACGATAAAAGCAGAATATAAAAAAATCAAAAACCATCCTTTTGCCAACTTACCTGCTCATCTGAGCTTTCAGTTTCGCCTGAACCCTTTTCTGAAGATTTCCTTTTCCATAGCCATTTTCTCTTTTCCATCTCAATATTTCAAAATATCTCCTACAAGACTTCAATATGATTAATTATTATGCAACTTGTCAAGCCTAAAAATTAATCCGTACATCCCAGCATGTTCATTTGTAATAATTCAGACATCAAACCAGATAGGGCAAATACATAACTTCAGCTAAATATATCCATGCCATGAATAGAGTTAAGGACTTGCTTCTCATGGTGAAAAGCTCTTAGAGCAGTGAATCGTATAAGACTGTATAATTATTCCCAGTGGCGGACCCAGAAGTTTCCAGGGACACTCCAACATAGATGAAAATGGGTCGGGTCAGGCCGATTTTAGGTGTATCATTGGTCTTTTTTGTTAAGTGCGTTCAAATTAATATTTTTAACTGGAAATAGATTATTCAATGCCGACGTCAAGCAGTGAACATATATGGATTATAAATCTAATTGTGAACTCAATAAGACAATTCTAAACAATAATATTTGACTTTTGGAAAGAAATACATAATTTGACGGATAAGAAATGACTCATCTTTGTGCAGTTTATTATTTTACATTAGAACTTTCGCTATTTTTCATACTATAAAATGATCAAGATTTCATATTTAACTAGGATCATGTCGTTGTTATACATTGTGCCACAAAATTTGTTGGTACTTAAATAAAATATAATATCATCGTGTTAAAAATGAAGTATAAGTCAAGTTTAGGATTTTATCATTTAATACAACTTTATTTATTAATATGATTCTATATATATATATATATATATCTACCTTTTACCAGTATCATATTATAGAAAAATTTAAAGGGTTTGTCAGTTTGAAACTAATTTATCGCGAATTGATACATTCTTTCATGTATGGACTTTTATTCAAGATAAAAGTCTTCAATCTTTAAAGTTTATCCCGCATATTAGAACCTTTTTCATATCTTTGAACTTTAACTTTGGATCGAAATTATTCACAACAAGTAAAAAATCATCAATGTCACTTTTCAAAGAAAGTGCAGTAACCATATAACAACATATCTAACTATAAGAATTTGCTCCATCACAACTTTAGAGTTGTTTATATTTCTTACTACAATTATTATATGTCTTTGACGGGGTCCTATATTTCTAATTGTTTTTTGAAATAATGACAATGTGATTGAAATAAAGATAGTGGACAAAAATATGACTTAGGTACTATCATAACAATTTTAGTGACCATGATTCTGTTCATTAGTTATATTCAGGTAATATTTATAAAAAATACTATTTTTTTATCCATGATAGCAGGGGCACAGTTTTTATCTTAAGTACTAATATTAAACTTCATAGTCGGAAGCCGGGGCACTTGCCCCCTTAGGCCCTCCCTAGGTCCTCTGATTATTCCTACTCGATTGAAAGTTGAAACACACTCTGCTGGCTACCAACCCCAGATATTTCAAAATTCAAAATTCAAAAGGGAATCGTAAGTGGGGAAAACATTGATATTGCTTATAAGTTACAATCAAGATATGATAGTAATTCATCGATGGAACACATAAAGAATTAGCATGATCACGAAGAATAATTTAAATTTACCCACAAGCTAGCATGAATTGAGTCGAAGATTCAAGATAACAGATCAAAACCCGTTTAAGGAAGAAAAAAAAAGATACTACGGAGTAGTAAATAAAATGACAATACATACCTTTGACAGAAGACCCGGAAGAACAAATCTGCAACGTTTGGGTTTTCAGAATGGAACCCAAAACAGACAGTTAAATGACAGTGAAAATCTCAAGGCACTATAACAAAATTTGAATTCCGAATTTTAAGTTCTCTGGTTGGTGAAGTCCAATCAGCTCTAAACAAGGAAAAATGGACCCAAGGTGCATGTGGGAAACTTGGAAAGTGAGAATAGAGACAACTTTTCAGCTTTTTTCCCATTATCGTTTTCTGCGCTTATTTTTCAAAACGAACAGCTCCGTTATTCCCGCCCATTAATGTGCTGAGGGCACATATAGCTGCAGGCGAATAGATAGATCATAGATATGGTACTATGGGCTTTTTGGTAAATGGGTGATTGGATGATCACCTAATTTTCAGCTTCTTCAAAAAAATGAGATTGACTATTATAATGGTGTTTATTATCAAATATAGCTGGTTTAATTAGCTTATAGGTTCTTTCAAAAAAATTACTCCTTCCGTCCCATTAAGATTGTCCCTGACACTATTCACAACACAAGTCACTCTTAATCTCTTACTTTATATATTAAATTTTTTTTATGAAATTTGATTCTGATTTTTGCGACTTTGTAAAGTTTCTAATGTACTTTGTGAATATGTAATTTTTTTCTGAAAATAATTTGATTTATCGTTTATCGTCAGTCAACCATCATAAACCGAATTGTCCCAAACATAGTGGGACGGAGGTACCGAACTGAACCGGTACTGTACCGGACCGATAAACGGGGTTTCAAATAGATCCAAAAAAAATTTGTCCCGAACCGGACCGTATTAGTTTTAAACAATGTCATGACGGGTTCTCATAAAATGAGAATCGGTACCGGAACGAAGTATGGTTTAATTATTTAAATTTGCACTACTATAGTTTATCTGAATTTTATTAAGTACTTCATCCATCCTAAATTGATTTGCAAAGTCATCATTTGTTGGTCAACCAATGTTAATATCAGGACCGTTTTTTAGGGAGTTCAATGGGTTATCTAGAACAGAGCCCCTGAATTTATGGGGCCCCAAAATTTTAAATTTCTTTTAGTATTATATAGTAAGGAGTAATATTATATTTAGTATATTAATACTAATCAGTAAAATACAGTTAGTAAAGAAGAAAATTATAGATCCATTATTCTTTTCGTTGGTCCTTTTACTTTTGGTTCTCTTTAATAAGTATTCAATTGATTTGAATATAAGTATTTGAATTGATATTTTTTAATAAACTTTTTATATTAATTTGGGGCCCTGATTTTACAATTAGAACTGGGGCGTCCATATTCATTAGACGACCCTGGTTAATATTAAGTCCTCCTTATTCCTTAATGATAATTAATACAATTTTTAACAATTAAAATTTACATATTTAGAAACCACATCAAAAAAAATTTTAAAGTTGCAAAATCCAAATTAGAATATGTGAAATACTTTTTTAACAGGCCAAATTAGAATGATTATAAAGTGATATCCTAATTAAAAAGAATCAATTTGGGACGGAGGAAGTATGAAATTTGAAAGTTGATAAATTTAGTGAATTTTTGGTGGATGACTAAACTTTAATTTTCTGTTAAATACTTGGAAAAAGTGACATTGTTTGCCTGTTTGGTATTGTTATGACATGGTACCGTACTGTTTGAAAATGGATCGTACCGAACATGTTTAGGTCCCAGACCGAACCGAACCATTTCAATAATTATGATATGGGTACGGGTTCGATAAAATATTGGACCGGGCCGGACTGTGCCTAGCCCTAATTACCTTGGTTACTTGACTTATTCTTCCACAATTTTTTTTTTACTCCAGGGGGTCTGGGGAGGGGACTGGGGGAGCCTGGAGTAATCAGAGCTGAAACTCACTCCATTGAGTTTCGAACTCTTATGTGCCTAGCGAGAATCAAGCTCGAGACCTCCCACTAGCATGGTAACCTCACAACCAACTAGGCTGAAAGCCTGAAACTCACTCCATTGAGGTGGGCTTGTGACAGGTTCAATTGGACTCGGGACAGATTGCGGTGGACTCCATACAGGTTCGATTGGGCTGGGGACAGTTATTGGCGGGCTTAGAGCAGGCTCATTAGGGCCTGGGCCGATTTGAGGCGGGTTGAAATTAGGCGAAGTTGGGCTCGGCGGTGAAGTAGTTGACGGAGGAGGGAGTAGGTAAGGAGAGTACGGAGGTGGAGAATAGGCGCAATAGGCGGAGGCAGGGGAGATTTCCGGCGAGGGATCTGGATTGAGAGAGTCAAATGGTGGTAAATAATAGTGTAGAATTAATTATTATTAATTATTAGGCAGTATCCTTATTGTATTTGGAGACTTACTCTATTATAAATACACAGTCAGGGCTACCAGTCTGGGTAAGCCTGTTTATTATTCTCACATGGTATCAAGAGCTTATGTTTTCTTTTCTTTTTTTTCGCGTCATGGCTTCCGCCGCTGCAACCTCTCCTTCGATTGCGCCGACCACCGCGGCAGCATCATCAACCGCTGTGTCCCTGCCTCCATCCACCATGATGTCGACGGCACCGGTGTCCCCTCTGTTTAGCGCCACTACTTCTGTGTTGCGGCCTACAATTAGCTTACCGTTTCCGATGCCTACCAATTCACCGGACATATCGACCTGGGTTCCACCGGTTTTTGATTGGTCCTCTCCATCACTTGGTCAGTCTTCGTCTGCATTGGGCCCTTCACATCAGCCTGCTCTTTACGATCTTCCACGTATTCAATTCGGTGGCCCCACTCTGTCCGGGCAGCAAGGTTTGGCTCCGGTTGCTTCTCAACGACCAATTGGACGTATCACAACTCCTACGACGCCTGGTTCTCTTCAAAGTATTGCTCAATCCATGGGTTTTTCTGCACCCAATATTACCAATATTGTTACTACTAAGCTTGATGCAGTTGAAGATTATCTTCCCTGGCGGACTCAGTTTGAGTCGTTTTTGGTGTCCCATGGACTGCTCGGGTTTGTTGATGGCACAATTCGGCGAGACGTTGTTCATGATGATTATTATTATTGGCTAAAGTTAGATCAAACAGTTCGTTCTTGGCTGTTTGCTACCTTATCCCGTGATATACTCATGGAAGTTCATACTTTAAGAAATTCAGCCGTTATTTGGGAACGTCTCGAGTCTCGTTTTATGGCTGCAAGTTTGGCTCGTTCCATGGAGTTAAAACGGATGCTCACTAATTCCAAAAAGAAAGATGATCAAACCATGGAACAATATATGCTTCAGATTCAGCGAATTGCAGATTCTCTTGCTGCCATCAATTCTCCCGTATCCATGAAAGATCTGCTTGAAACAACAATGTTTGGCCTGGGTCCTGAATATGAGTCTATTATTACCACCTTTACTTTTCCTGAAGGTCTTACTTTTGATATACTTCGTATTCGAATTGTGGAGCAAGAGCAGAGAATTCTGTACCTGCGGGCTCGTGAGAATGCCCTGGCACCAGCTGCACTTCAATTCAACAAGCTGCTCCAGCCGGCCAGCAAGGCTATGAGGCTCGCGGTGGTTTCCAGCAGGCCCGAGGTCGCGGCAGACGAGGTCAGCGAGGTCGGGGGGCTCGCGGTCGCGGCAGGGGGTACGGTCAGCAGCATCCGGGATTCGCGGCACCACCACCGGCGTTTTATCAGCCCAGGCCGGGTCAGCCAGCCCCTGCAGCTTATTTTCAGCCGGCCTATATCCCTGCTCCACCGGCCAATGCTCAACACCAGGGGCGTCCTGTAACACTTGAGATTTAATATAAACGGATTAATAGTACTACCCATACCAACAGAGGTGCATCTCCTTTTAAGGGAGCTCATCACCCAAGAACTCCAAAATTAAGTGTGCTTGCACGGGAGTAGTCTTGGGATGGGTGACCCCCTGGGAAGTTTCTCAGGGCGCGCATGAGTGAGGACAAAGTGCGCGGTAAAGGCTCGTGGTGGTTTGTGGGGACAGTACTATTGGTCTGGAGTAACTACCTCGGGTCCGGTGGGGCCGGGGTGTTACAGGTGGTATCAGAGCAACCCTGCGACAGTGTGCTGACCCGTTGGATATCGGGCGGTGACGTGCACTTTGTCGTGTGTGCACTCAAAGTAAATTTCAACACTAACACTTATACGTAGTATAGGTGAAGTAAAGTTCGTATCCACAGGGAAAGGAATAACTTTCTTTTTATATAAATAGTAAGTAAAGGGGGGTTTTGATTGTTGAGTGATTTAATTAAATTAAACACGAAGATGAACGAGTTATATGAGATTTAATTCAAAGATAAAAGTGACTTGGCATTGCTATTTTCCATTTGTTGATATATTTTAGTCGATCATTGTTATATCTATAACTTATTTCCTCTCGAATACTCAATCGAGGAGTATATCCAATTCATCGAGGATAGTTATTAACAACAACCGTTCATTAATAACCCTTACTATTAGTCAAGTATAGAACAACGCCATATACCGACTTGATAGTAGCATTTAATCTTTTAACTCCTTGATGAAATCAATTGAGATTGATAACCTTAACACAACGGTCTCGGTTTAACCAACAAAATTAATCCCTCTTAAGTTTATTAACCACGACCGTGCATTAACAAACCGAAGTTACTTACTTGTGAAACTATCAACGATTAACCATCGGTTCGTTGATCGTTTCTAGTAATAATTAATATGTGAAACAAAACTAGTTGATCCTTTAAGTAATGTTCAAAATATTAATATGAAATATGAATAGGAATTAATTAATACTCAAGGAAGAATATTAAAGGGAATGAATCCTACTATAGTTAAATATCAAGATGTTAACTAATTGTCATCTTAGTAACACTCCCCGATATTAACATAGAGGAAGGAATAGCTATTACTAAAACCAATGTCAAGATGTTAACTAATTGTCATCTTAGTAACACTCCCCAACATTGATATAGAAATAGTATTTAAAGGAAGAATTAATATTCAAGGAAAAGAAGTTAAGAAAATAACTCACAACTTTAATAATCAACAAGCTTCAAGAGCAATACCAAGATATGGAAGTTTAGCTCCTCATTTGGAGACTAAACATGCTAAAAGAAATATAAAGAAATGCTATTCTAAACTGAGCTTAAGAGTATAAAGGAATTGGTTTTTTAAAGTGAAGGAAAGGAGGTGTATTTATAGGCTTTTTGAGGTGCAGGCTCGGGTACTCGATCGAGTATATACAGATACTCGATCGAGTATGTGTAGAAATACCAGATTCGAGGTATACTCGATCGAGTATATGTTCATACTCGGTCGAGTATG